GAAACTGAGGTGGTGGCCGGTGTGCTCAGGGTTGGGGTCACTCTGGGAATTACCATCATGCTTGTTTTCATCCTTAGGCCATTTGGGGGGCAGGGGTCTTGGAGTGGTCTCTGGAATTAGCCCATCAGTCCCCATTATCAGTCAACTATTTTTCTAAGAGGCAAGTAGTCCTTCTTTTGCTAGTCTCAAGTTTTCAGGGTTACTCCTCCCAGTTCTGGACTAACAAAGCAAACATGTGGTTTGGAACTCCTGGTCAAAGCCTCATCCCTGCCACTAAATCATTCCACCACCTTGGACATATCTCTTCAGTTAAAACCCTCCCTTAAGTACTGGGAAAATAAATGATCTCATTCATGGTGTTGAACCATAGGTGAATTTTACAGTAACAAATAACAAATGTGGGAAGCTGTATATACAAAAAGTCTCTAGAGCCTGTGCTAATAATTACTCCCATTTTCACTCAAATGCCAGAGGTCTATCACATGATTACTCTTACAGTTTGGAATCTCAGAGTTCAAAGAGATCTTAACTACACCTACCTCCACTAAATGCTTGCATCAGCTCTGAAATGACCACTCAGCCTCTGGGATAATGTTTGAATGCCTTCCCCACTTCCCCACCAGCCCCCTTCATTGGCAGAGCACTAGCTCTTCTAGGAGATAGCATGGCTCTTCTCTTTATCTCTATTTTACTCCCTAGCTGCTGACTTGGACAAATCGTACCCCATGTATGGGAAGTCCATGATGCTACTTTCTGTCACTCATCTCTCCCCCAGGTAAACAGGACCCAGGAGCCAGCCACAAATGGATCTGCATCTAGGTCACTCTCTGCAGACACAGGTGGGCAGAGCCAGGCTGGGGATGAAGAGGTGACTAGGGCCCCTGATGTCTCTTTGTCCTGAGAGCAGGGTTTCCTACTGGAGGAAGTGGAAAATAGTCAGAAATTGGAGAAAAAATTAAGAATAGGACTTCCTTTACAGTCACTCCCATTTAGGTTGGAGAAGTACATCTGTGTACAATATTTCAGCTCTTCTCCAAACCTCCATTAGGCTAGGCATTGTCTTATTTATTGTATGGCAATGTGATGAGAGCATGGACTTTGGAGGAATAAGAGGGGCACTCTCATTCTGACTCTATCAGTTCCTGGTTGAGCAACTTGGTAAGCTCATTAACTCATATTCAAGAAGTTGGAATATTAGAGTCAACTTGTGATATTGTGTGAACTAAATACAATATTTTAACATATATAAAACGCAACACATTTTCTAATCAGTGCTCAAAAGGGGTAGTTGTTCAGAAAAACAGTTGTATATGTTACACTAGGACTTGAACCCAAACTTCAGATTCAAAATGTCCTCCCCCCCGCCACTGTACCACCCACACTGGGTACATGGGGATTCAACTATTCCCATGTGAAGATAACAATCTATTCATTTGTTAACTGCTGGGCCTTCTACTCTTCCCCCAGACTGGAGCCCCAAGTAATTTTAATCTCTTGAGTTACTCATTTTCCACACATCTGCATTTGTTTGTCCTACTGCTACTTCAAATTCATCATATTCCAGATTGAAATTCCAGAACAGGCCTACTTCCTCTGTCACCCTGGCTGATTTTTCTAATTACTGCATTTTATCTGTAGTATTGCTGATTCATTTAAGTTATTGAGCTGATCACTGTACTTCATTCATTTATCTCGAATGCACACAATGCCTAATACCCTGTACAGTTCAGTTCCACCTTCCTATGTTGATCCTATGCTGTGTCTGATGCCATGCAAGGTCCTGCAGTACAAGTAATGCTACCATCTCTGCTCTTGAAGCACTCACAGTATTGTGGAGAACAGACATTCAAGCAAAATGTAGGATAGGGCAAGTGTCAAAGAACACAAAGACCAAGAAATAGCAACATTTCCTACACGTCTCATGTCTTTTTGTGCCTCTATTCCTCCTTTAACTGATTTCTTTTCCATTAAGTGAATAGTTTCTAATATAGCATTTTAATTTCTTTAATGATTTTGAAACTATATTCTTTAAGGTTTGGATTGTTCGTTTCAGTGGTTGCTCTAGGTTCTTCTATATACATCTTAAAATGTGAGAAGCACTTCAGGCCTATACTAGCTTAATTCCAGTGATGTATAGGAACGTTATTCTTATGTAGATCTATTCTCTTTTCCCTCTTTTTTCTACTATGATGGTTATAGTATAACATCTATTAGTTTACAAGCTGAACAATATATTGTTATAATTATTACTTTACCCTCTGTAGTCATTTCCTTCATCAGTACAGCTTTGATCCCACTGACATTCTTTGTGCTGCTATTGACAATATATTACACACATATTATACATCTATAGGCTATAGGCTCAACAATATATCATATACATATTATTCTGTAGACTTGGTTTGTAAATTGATTCAGGCAAAAAGGAGAAAATAAGCATTTATACTGTGTTTTATATTTGCATAATTGCCTTTACCACTCTTCTTTGTTTTTTGTGTGTATGTGAATTACACCTGGGGTCACTTATACTTTCAGTTCAAAATAACTCCTTCAGTATTTTCTGTGAAGCAGGAACAAATTCTTTCAGTTCTGTTGACCTGAGAAATATTTTATATTTCCTTTTTTGGAAAGTAGCTTCACTGGACATGTGATTCTTGTTTGATAGGCTTTTTTTTTTTCATTTTTTTTTAATACTTCAAATATGTTATCCCACTGCCTTCTGGACCCCACTGTTTTTGCTAAGTGAGCTGTTAATGTTATTATGGTTCCTGTGTAAGTAGTTATTGGTTTCTTGCTGCTTTCAGGACTTCTCAGGATTTCTCTTTCAGGTATTCACCTTTCAGCTTTTTTATAATGATACATCTGCAGAATCCTCTTTTTATTATACTTGGAGTTTATTGAGCTTCTAGATGTGTATTTTTCAACCAGTTTGGGAAGTTTTCAGTAATTATTTCTTCAAAGATTTTTCTGTGTATCTTTCTCTCTGTCTTACTCTCTCTCTCTCTCTTTCTCTTTATCTCTCCTCTTTCCAGTACTCCTACTACATATGTTGGTGTGCTTAATGATGTCCCACATTTCTCTGAGGCTCTCTTAATTTTCTCTCTTTTTTCAACTTGCATAATCTATATCAATCTTTCTACAGAATTTTTTTATTTTTTTAATAAATTTATTTTTTATTGGTGTTCAATTTACCAACATACAGAATAACACCCAGTGCTCATCCCGTCAAGTGCCCCCCGCAGTGCCCGTCACCCATTCACCCCCACCCCCCGCCCTCCTCCCCTTCCACCACCCCTAGTTCCTTTCCCAGAGTTAGAAGTCTTTATGTCTGTCTCCCTTTCTGATATTTCCCACACATTTCTTCTCCCTTCCCTTATATTCCCTTTCACTATTATTCATATTCCCCAAATGAATGAGAACATACACTGTTGTCCTTCTTCGATTGACTTACTTCACTCAGCATAATACCCTCCAGTTCCATCCACGTGGAAGCAAATGGTGGGTATTTGTCGTTTCTAATGGCTGAGTAATATTCCATTGTATACATAAACCACATCTTCTTTATCCGTTCATCAGAAAAGAGATTTCTTGCACTGTTGGTGGGAAGAGAAACTGGTGCAGCCTCTGTGGAAAACAGTATGGAGGTTCCTCAAGAAGTTAAAAATAGAGCTACCATATGATTCAGCAATTGCACTACTGGGTATTACCCAAAGAATAGAAGAATACTAATTCAAAGAGATACTTGTAGCCCTATGCTTATCACAGCATTATTTACAATAGCCAAAGTATGGAAGCAGCCTAAGTATCCATTGATTGATAAATGGAAAAGAAGAGAGGTATATATATATATATATATATATATATATATATATATATATATATAATGGAATACTGTTCATTCATTTAAAAAAATGAAATCTTGCCATGAATGGAGCTAGAAAGTAAGTATAATGCTAAGTGAAATAAGTTAGTCAGAGAAAGACAAATGCCATATGATTTCACTTATATATGGAATTTAGAAAAACAAAACAAGTTAGGAAAGAGAAAGAGAGAGAAAAAGACAAATCAGGAAATAGACGCTTAACTCCAGAGAACAAACTGATGGTTACCAGAGGGGAGATGGGTGGGAGATGGGTGAAATAGGTGATGGGGATTAAGGAGTGCAATTGTTGTGATGAGCACTGGCTGATGTATATAGAATTACTGAATCACTGTATTGTATACTTGAAACTAATTTAACACCATATATTTATTAACTGGAATTAAAATAAGTGCTTAAAAATTAAAAATAAAAAAGATTTAAAATAGAAAATAAGGTTTATAAGTTTAAAAACAGTATATTCATAGAAAAAAGGAAAACATTCAAAGAAGTAAAAGAAAGGAGAAACATTATATGTTCTCATTCATTTGGGGAATATAAATAATAGTGAAAGGGAATAGAAGGGAAGGGAGAAGAAATGTGTGGGAAATATCAGAAAGGGAGACAGAACATAAAGACTCCTAACTCTGGGAAACGAACTAGGGGTGGTGGAAGGGGAGGGGGATGGGGGTGGGGGTGACTGGATGGCGGGCACTGAGGGGGGCACTTGATGGGATGAGCACTGGGTGTTATTCTGTATGTTGGCAAATTGAACACCAATAAAAAATAAATTTACTATTAAAAAAATGTCTTTGAAAATGTATGCAATATATACTATCACAACACAACATTTGAGTCTTTAAGCACTGCAAGAGTACAGTATGATACCGTTTCACATATGACATTGACATAATCCCTAGAATATTGAGTATGCCAAATTAGAAGCTGTTGGAATGATTAGGTGCATAAAGACTTTCTATGTTCTTTTTTTGTGTCTCTTAATCCTTCTTATTTAAAAAGAAATTATAAAATTTAGTCTATTTTAATGATGTTTTTATGAAATTAAGATATTTTTAATGCTAAGAAAGCCATTGATTTTGCTTATCTGAATGTCTTTATTCAACAAAGGACATTTAGCAGACATTTGATGGTACTGATGTTGCAGACAGTTGGATAAATGGATGGAGGCAACCAGACTGAAGTCTCTGAATTCCTACTCTTGGGGATCTCAGATAGTTCTGAGCAACAACAGGTCCAGTTCTGGATGTTCCTGTCCATGTACCTGGTTACAGGGGTGGGAAATGTGCTCATCATCCTGGCCATTGGCTCTGATCCCCATCTGCACGCTCCTATGTACTCCTTCCTGGCCAACTTCTCCTTCACAGACCTCTTCTTTGTCACCAATACAATACCCAAGATGCTGGCAAACCTTCAGTCTCAGAACAAAGCCATCTCCTATGCAGGGTGCCTAACACAGCTCTACTTCTTGGTCTTCCTGGTGACACTGGACAACCTCATTCTGGCCACAATGGCATATGACCACTATGTGGCCATCTGCCACCCCCTCCACTATGTCACAGCCATGATCCCTGGACTCTCTATTTTGTTCCTCACCTTGTGTTGGGCACTTTCTGTCATCTGTGGCCTTACCCACACCCTCATTATGACCAGAGTGACCTTCTTTGGTTCCTGGAAGATCCACTACATCTTCTGTGAGATGTATGTCATGCTAAGGTTGGCCTATTCCAACACCCAGACCATTCACATACTGCTGATTACCACAGGCATCTTTATCTTCCTGACCCCCTTAGGGTTCGTGATCATGTCCTATGTCCACACTGTCAAAGCCATCCTCCGAATGCCCTCAGCCTCTAGCAAGTACAAAGCCTTCTCCACTTGTGCCCCCCCCCAATTTGGCTGTAGTCTCCCTCTTCTATGGGACACTTGGTATGGTATATCTGCAGCCTCTCCACACCTACTCCATGAAGGACTCAGTAGCCACAGTGATGTATGCTGAGGTGACCCCCATGATGAACCCTTTCATCTACAGCCTGAAGAACAAGGACATGCATGGGGCTCTGGGAAGACTGTTCCTAGGGAAAGCCTTCCAGAGGTTGACATGAGGTAATTATGGATGCTGAAGTGGAGGCTGGGAATTTTCTATCATGTGCAAGGCATTATCCTATGGGGGATACAGGAGTGATTAGGACATAGCTCAGGTTCAAAATGAATGTATATATCTGTGGTGGAGGAAAGACATGTATACATAACCCAAAGTCCTCCTGTCACAAAGGCCTTGGAAATAAATAAGATCACACTAGCACCAATACCAAAATTTTGTAGGATAAGATCCTTCATCTTATGTGACCACAGTACCACATTGCCACCATGCTCTGGAATCCATAATTCATGTAAATGGATTAAACTCACCAGCTAAAAGATATACAATATCTGAATGGATAAAATAAATATACACAACTATATGCTGACTACAAGACATTATCACTTAAGATTTAAGAATGCAATGGCTGGAAGTGAATGGATAGGAAAAAGACATTCTACATTATATGTAACCTAAAGAGGACAAGTGGCTATGTTTATAGCAGACAAACAGGACTTTAGGTCAAAACGTCACAAGAGATGAGAACATTATAAAATGATTTTTTAAAGTCAATTTAATATGAAGATATAACAATTATAAATGTATATGTGCCCAAGTTAAGAGCATTTAAGTACATAAAGCAGTATTAACAGACCTGAAGAGGAAAACGGACAGCAACAATAATAGTAAGAAACTTCAACACCCCACTTTCAACAATGGATAGATAATTCATGCAGATAAATCATGCAGAAAATAGAAACAGCAGACTTGAAAATACTACAGACCAAACGGACCTAACAGGCACATATAGCACATTCCATAAAACAGCAGCAAATAAGCATTCTTCTACAGTGCCACAGAGCATTCTACAGGGTAGATTACATGATAAGCCATAACACAAGTCTTTTTTATTCTTTTTTTTTTAGGGGAGAGGGTGTTGTGAAAAGATGCATTTTACTTATTACCCTATACCTATAGTTTAATTTAGGGTAAAATATAAGCAACACATAAAATGCCCATTTCTGCTACTATGTAATGTAATTCTCCATTGTGAATATTCTGATAAAGCTAATGAAAACTCTAGGCCATCACATACTCCACCTTCTCTTATAGCTGGTATTTTTCAGCTCTCATTGTCAGTGAAATCACAACACACCTAAGATTCTCCCACAAATGGTCCAGAATATCAGAGGGTACATAATTAGCTTATTGACCCCTGACTCCCCACACTAGAGCCTCAATGTTACAAGTAGAGTTATAAAATAATGAAGGCTATGAAAACCCCTGAGTCTGAGCCAAGCTGGGACAGTGTTCCAAAGAAATCCACACCACAGTCTAGGTTACATTATAGTGAGGGTTTAGTGTCATTGAGTTTGCCCAAACATTCATACTGATCTTAAACTTCTGGTACAGGGCAGCCCAGGTGGCTCAGTGGCTTAGCGCTGCCTTCAGCCCAGGGTGTGATCCTGGAGTCTCAGGATCGAGTCCAATGTCGGGCTCCCTGCATGGAGCCTGCTTCTCCCTCTGCCTGTGTCTCTGCCTGTGTCTGCTGTGTCTCTCATGAATAAATAAATCTTTTTAAAAAATAAAATTAAAATTAAAAAAACTTTTAAAAACAAACAAATAAATAAATAAACTTCTGGTACACCATGCCTTTTACTTGGATGAAAAATAAATGTGGAAGAGATTCTCTGTATTCTATCCGTAAGCCACCTGCTGACATATTAACCTCTTACTGGCTGTTAGTTGATCCAGATGGAGGTTTTTAAATTATGATAAAATAAAACATATGAACCATGATAGGTAGCTTAGGAAAAGATTTAGTCAAATATGTAGATATTAACTATTCACTCAGTCATCAAGGAGAGCTGTGAACAAAAGGATCATTTAAATGATTTTTCAAATAGAAAAACTAAAGGACTGGACTATCACAGGTGCTTTCTTCGCTGCAGAAGCTGAGATGTTCCAGTAGGTAAGATCGTCACTTGATTGGGAAATAAACACCATAGTTGAAGGCCCTGTTGACACATTAAATATCTGATGAGGTTCATTCCTGTCATTTTTCCAGCATTGTTGTAAAATCCTTATAATACGTTCCACAGTAAACCAGCCATTCCAAATCTACAGTCACTCTGCTCTTTAATTCAATTGACAGAATTGCTGAAAAGTAGACATTTCTATCTAAAAGAAGGAAAAAGTTTTTATGGAAGATATTTCTGTTACAACAAGCATATTACACAGCTTGGGGAAGTAACAGGTCTGTATAGCTCTTCTGACCCACTGATACTTCAAGACTAGGAAGGAAGAATCTACAATGTAGGGTCTGGTTCTTGCTTAATCTAAGGGTTTCCATCAGTTTCCTTTATTTTTTCTGTTGCAGGAAGCTCCAACTGGTTTGGCTCAGCTGATTCTTACATCACTGGGCCTTTGACACACTCTGATGAACTAACTGGTTATTAATCACAAGTCCTAGAAATGGTTTAATGACTGTGAATTTAATGAACTCAGCAGAATCTAAGGTCCTTCCCATGGAGTTGATTTCCAGGTAACTGGAGGCTTTGAATGACACTCCAAGAGGAATGCCATCAACCACCACATAGCCAGGGTTAATTGTGATTTTCCTGTAGGGCACTTTCACAGGGAAACCCATAACAATAGCTTCAGCAAATTTTCAACTGAAGGGGTCATTAACTTTTTCTCTGAGATGTCTAGCTTTTTCAACTTTTGATATTATTTTGTTATCATCATCTGGAATTGTCACCTGAATAATGTTAAGATCTTCAACCCCTGATGCAGTAGTATTAACACTGGGTGATGAATATTTTTCTTGTAGGGCTCTCTGAGAAGGAGGTGCTCTCCTTAATTGCGGCCTCAAACATTTCAGGCTTTTTAGTGACGAACTTAATTTTAGCTTTGTTTCTATCTTCTCCAGACTCGGAAGGCCAAAAGTAGACTGCAGACAGAATGGCACACCCTCAGGCAAGCCTTCAAATAATACAAATGGCACTTTCACAGTTTGCTTAAGGCCAAGCGCTTCACAGCATTTTTCTTTTCAAAAGATTTGCAACTTTTTGTTTTAGGTCTATGATTTTGGCAATTCCAGGCCTCAAAGGAAAACTCTCCCCTTTGAGGCTTAATGGGAACATTAGAACAATTAGTCTGAGTAGGGGTTTGAACTGCTGAGGTTTGAAGTTGTTATTATTAGAGCCTTCCATAGTGACTTCAATTTCAGGAACTTTTGAATTTCTCCTAGTGCTTCATAGTCATTTCAGGGACTGCAAGGCTTTAGTATTTACTAGCCATTCCAGGAGACAAATAGGAAATAATTAATTTAGGTTTGTTAACAACTCAGTCAGCTCAATCATTTAAGCACATGTCTTCAGCTCAAGTCATGATCAAGGGGTCCTGGGATCAAGCCCCACATCAGGCTCCCTGCTCAGTGCCTGATTCTCCTTGTCCCTCTGCCACTTCTCCTGCTTGTGCTCGCTTGCTGTCTTTCTCTCTCAAATAAATAAAATCTTTTTAAAAAGAAAAAGAAACAACTCTCATTCATTCAAGAATCCATTGCACACATGCTACATGAAAGGGAGGGCTTGACAAGTTAGTCTTTTCTCTAACCTTAGAGCTCCACTGGTCTAACCCTCCCAACACTCTGAAGCAGTGTCCACCACCACCATCAGCAGAAGCACAGCACACAAGACCTAACAACATTAAAAAGTATTTGCTTTTGTCTCTAAGACCTTGGGCAAGTGAAGTGATGGACTCTTTCCCCGGGGCTTGAATGCTATATATTCCAAGAGTGATCTTTCTGGTTCTAGATCCTGCTGTGCCATTACTGAGCTCCAGATCCCCAGTGGAGGAGGCACCAATGTGTATTTATGATTTGTAAGAGCACTCCGAAGCAGTGCATCTCAGCTGGGGCGATTATTCACCCCACACCACACGTGAGGCCATTTGGCAATGTCTGAAGACACTTCTGGTTCTCACAGCTTGGATGAGGAGTAACGCCACTGGCAACAAGTGGGTGGAAGCCAGGGATGCGGTTGAACATCTTATGGTGCACAAGACAGCACCCACAATAAGAAATTGTACAGCCCAAAATGTCAGGAGTGCCAAGTGGGGCAAATGTGGCCCAGTGGAGGGGCCCCTTTTGCCCAAGAATAAGGGCAGTTCTGTCAAAGGCTGCATCTGTTTATTTGACCTAAAGAATATTAACTTTCATATTAATTGTGGTCAATATTAGAAGTTGAAAGATTGAAATAAGAAACCAAATGTATAGTTGAATAATTATAGTTTAATCCAAATATATAGTTTAAAGGAATGTGCTCCCAGGAATTGGACTAGTCATCCAGTGCTTTGCTAATAAACTGGATACACGAAATATTGGGCATCTGTACAAACAGGAGTCAGACATGGAGTAAAATACCTGGCAGATATTGTGATATGGGGGCTATATTCCTACACAGAAGCAACCTTCTGTGTCTCAGAAGCACTTTGACCTTTTAGACAGGGCATAAGCTCCCCAGTTCATCAACATTAATCATTGCCTTCTTGGTATTGCTTTTCTCAGAAGAAGGTAACATTTACTGGGTTCACAGAGATACCAAAAATGGAAAAAATAAATAATTATGTTTTTCAAGAAAAAGTGAGAATGTTTCTGGAATATGTGGAATTCCAACACATTTAGTAAACAAGCAAAGAGCACCTGTGTCAAACCTATTTTAGATTAAATGAATCTCACAACAATTAGTGTACAGAAAAATTATGATATGAAAAATTTAAGAGGCAAAAAAGGTTGAAATTTTTGGTTTATTTTTCAATATGATTATAAAATGAATAATTACATTGTGCAATGATGTGTTAAATGAAATAATTGACTAGCCTTCACACTTTTTAAGATTTGGGGTAGTAAATGATAGTCTTTGGGATTTGTCAAAAATTATGTGCTTCAGGTTTTCTATTTCTTCCTGTACTGGTTTTGGTAGTTTGTGGCTTTCCAGGAATGCATCCATTTCTTCTAGA